TTTTTACTTTACGCTTTTTTTCTACAAGGTGAACAGTCGCAGAAAAATGACAATGGAAATGACGGCAAAACAAGTAGAACAATAAATCAAATAGCAATCAGAGCGAAAAGACATTCAATCACTGACCCACTCACACACTGATCCACTCACTCACTGATCCACTCACTGACCCACTTACGACACTGAACCACTAACGGATCTACTCAATCTTGATTTGAAGCTTTCGTGACTGCAGGAATCCATACTCTTTGGTTCTTTCGGCAAAGTCACGAAGGTAGAAAATAAAACAAATCACGACGTTTTGGGCGCAACACAAGCGTCCGTCATCGGGTGGGAAAGCATGGTCAGCTGCTGAGACAGACTGTTTAAAAAGGTTTGAAAAGGGTGTACCCCAAGGGTCATAAAGAAGTGGTCGGAGCTAGTGATGTTAATGTGAGAAATTAGCATGTAACTGTAAGATAGGAGAGCGGCCTCCTCGACGAGGGCACAAAAGTGGCTATGTTAATGCGAGAGATTAGCATGATGTTAATGTGAGAGATTAGCATGTTAATGTTAAATCGAAGAATGGTGCAATCCAAAGGCATGAGTGCAACCCAACGGGTGCAATACAAAGGGCATGTGAGTATGGGAGTGCAATCCAAAGGACATGTGAGCATGAGAGATCTAAGAGAGAGGCATAGAGAGAGAGACACACAGAGTCGGAAATAACAGCTGACATAGGCAGGTAGGATGGAAACACAACAGTCAGTTAAGACTTTACCTGGCTAATAACGTCCTTCCAATGATTGCTCAGTTTGTACCCATCCTCTCGGTTGAAGTTGTGTCTGTGTTTATATATCTGGATGGCTTCATTAACAAATCTCTGAAGGTAGCCGGTAGGTTTGCAGAGTACCTCCGTCTTGGAAAAATCTATTTCGTATGAGCCCACAGCGTTAAACAATGATCGGCAACGGCAGAGGTATTGGTCCTGCCGTGTTTCAGATCTGCCTTGTGTTCACGAACGCGGTCCAAGACACGTCGTTTCGTTTCCCCCAATGTAACTACTGCCGCAACCACTACTCAGTTTGTAGACACCAGGGTATTGCATGTCAGGAATCACATCTCTTACAGATGGGATTAAATCACAGATTTTGTGTACTGTGTTGAAACGAACCTGGATCTTGTGCAGGGGCGGTTCCTTCATTAGGGCGATTGGGCGACGCACCACCAAAGTGTGAAAGGGACTTTATCAATCACATTCAAAATCTCATTCAACCAGAGTCACGCGAGCCGTCACTGTGCCTCTGGATATAGTCCAATCAGCGTCATGTCACGTTCTGTGGAGTACTGCCTCTTTTTGGGCGATTTCACTCCGGCTGAGAATCGCCCAGAGTGTTCCCATAGACTTACATTCAAAGATGTTTTTTTTTCGAACGGGGGCGCTGCAATGCATTCTCTATGGCTTCCGGGAGGGCTCGCACTAACGTGCTTACGTCATCATACGTAAGCACGTTTCAGTCAACAATATTATTTGTCGCCACCTAGTGGAATCTTTAATAAAAGAAACTGAGTGGATTGTAATAATAGTGAGTATAAAAACAAACAAGGAGATGTATTGTAAGAGTCACTTTATTTTTCATTAATATTAAAGTAGTGAAGTTGCCTTTACACGCTTAAGCTGTTGATTTATCCATTGCATGGGTGGACCTTATCCTTATCAATCATCCAGACATTTGCCCCCCCTGAGAGATTTTGCAGGAGCCGCCACTGATCTTGTGTATGTTTAAGATTTTGGAAATATTTTTGGTAACCCCGGCTATGTATCGTAAAGTGATGGTTTTGGTTGGATCCTCAGAAGGTTGTCTCCGCGTGGCTGGGGAGAGAGCTTTGCGGATTGTACGGTCCGAGTATCCGTTTATCCTGAGGGCTTGGTGTACGTGCTCCAACTCACTGGATAGGTGGTCCTGGTCAGAGATGCAACGGGCCCTATGGTGTAGTGTTTTGATGAGGAAATTATTCCGGGCTGGATGGTGGTGGGAGTCAGGCTTTAGATTGGCATCCGTGTGGGTGGCTTTCCTGTAGACCGAATGTCCTAACGAGCCATCAGGTCTCTTCTCGGTAAAAACATCCAGGAATGGTAGCTTGCCATCATTTTCTACTTCCATGGTGAATTTGATAGACGGGTGGATGGAATTGATCTACTCACTTACTGACCCACTCACTCACTGATCCACTCGCTCACTGACCCACTCACTGATGCATTTCCTCTTTGACCCACTCACTCACTAATCCACTCACACACTGATCCACTCCCACACTGATCCACTCACTCACTGACCCACTCAATCACTGATCCACCAACCACAATGATCCACTCAACCCTGGTCCACTCACATATTCACCCACTACACTGATCCACTTACTCACTGATTCACTCACTACACTGATCCACTCACACACTGATCCACTCACTCACTGACCCACTCACTCACCAATACACTCACTATCTGACCACTCAATCACTGACCCACTCACTCACCGATACACTCACTAACTGAAGACTCACTTACTGACCCACTCACTCACTAACCAACTCACTCACTGAACCACTAGCTAACTGACCCACTCACTTACTGACCCACTCACTCAATAATCCACTCACCCACTAATCCACTCACCCACTGATCCACTCACTCACTGACCCACTCACTCACTTATTCACTCACCCACTGATCCACTCACACATTGATTCACTCACTTATTCACTCACCACACTGATCCACTTACTCACGGATCCACTCACTGATCCACTCACTCACTGATATACTCACACACTGACACACTCACGCAATTATCTACTCACTGATCAACTCACTCATTGACCCACTCACTCAATGACCTACTCACTCACTCACTGATTCACTGCCTCACTGATCCATTCACTAACTGATTCACTCTTTCGCTGATCCACTCACTCACTGATTCACTCACTCACTGATCTACTCACACACTGATCCACTCACTGACCCACTCACTCACTGACCCACTCACTGACCCACTCACTCACTGACCCACTCTCTCACTGACCCACTCACTCACTGACCTTACATCCTGATTCACTCACTCACTGATCCACTCACTGACCCACTCACTCACTGACCTTACACCCTGATTCACTCACTCGCTGACCCACTCACTGACCCACTCACTAACTGACCCACTCACTCACTGATCCACTCACTGACCCACTCACTAACTGATCCACTCACTGACCCACTCACTCACTGACCCACTCACTCACTGACCCACTCACTCACCGACCCAGTCGCCACACTGCAGGTGACAACACTTCTCTCTCTGCTAATTCCCTGGCACTTCTCCACCTCATAATAATGACGTGGTCGTGACTTGGAATTCCACCTCAACGTCTCTTTTCCAAAGCTCTTAAAATCACCTTCAATTCAAGGTACTTGTTCCAACTTGCAGAGTGCTGTTTGTTGTTGGCCGCTTGGAGTTTTTGCCCAGTTCGTTGTAAGCAGTGCGGCAACGCATCGTGCTCCCATGCTTCCCCGACTTCACCGACACGCAATGACCGGCGTGGTGAAGTATGGTCAAAAAAGATGACGCTTTAACGATTCGCGATGGACAGTCGTCGGCGTTTGTGACGTCACATACACACCGTTTACAGCGAAGTATGACGTCATTGTCCAGGTGAGCTCACCCCCGCGCCCCCCCCCCCCCCTGTGCAGGTGAGCTCGCCCCCCACTCCCCCCCACCCACGGCCTCACCCCGCCCCGCCCCTCGCTCCTCCCCCCCCGGGTGAGCTGCCCAAGACCTTCACCTTAGCCCCGCCCCTCGCCCACCCCGCCCCGCCCCGCCCACCCCCACCCCCTCCCCCTCCGGGTGAGCTGCCCAAGACCTTCACCTTAGCCCCGCCCCTCCCCCACCCCCACCCCCTCCCCCTCCGGGTGAGCTGCCCAAGACCTTCACCTTAGCCCCGCCCCTCCCCCACCCCCACCCCCTCCCCCTCCGGGTGAGCTGCCCAAGACCTTCACCTTAGCCCCGCCCCTCCCCCACCCCCACCCCCTCCCCCTCCGGGTGAGCTGCCCAAGACCTTCACCTTAGCCCCGCCCCTCCCCCACCCCCACCCCCTCCCCCTCCGGGTGAGCTGCCCAAGACCTTCACCTTAGCCCCGCCCCTCTCCCGCTCCTTCCCCCGCCCCTCACCCGCCCCGCCCCTCACCCGCCCCGCAATCACCGCCGGCCGTGGCCATGGACGGGTGAGTTGTGGGGTCGCGGAGCCGGAGCTCGAGGTGTAGCAAGCTGCTTTATCGACCACGGCAGCTGATGAGGATGATTGACCTGAGGCGATGTGTGTACATCAAGTTAGAGTTAGGGGGTGGAGTTGGCGCTGCGGTATATATCGGTGGAAATTCCACGTTTCTATGGCGGGGGTCCGCTCTTCCTAAGACTTCCCTCAAAGTGGTGCCAGTTTTATCGACCCCGAGATGGTATGGATGGGCCGAGACGAACCCCAGCAGGAGATGTGAACTTGTGAGCGCGGCGCTAGGGGACTTGATGCACGTCCACTTTACATTAGCTATATATACTGTACCTCTATAAGCACTGTATTCGTTTTCCAATAGATGTATAGTATATGTTAAACTAATGTCGCCAGTTAATTCGTTATTTTACACCCCGACTGATCAAGCAGCGTGCTGACGTGTGGTCAACCACCATGTCCGACGCAGCGTGAGGAGGCCTCAGCCAGCAATTGATTGACGGGGGCTACACTGCCCATAGAGTGTATGTATAGTGCATAGTCCATAATAACTGTAAATGTGTCGTTAAACCCGCCACCACCCGACACAGACAATCAGTAGAGCCACGCAGCGGCGGTGTGCTGGGGAAGTGTAAACCACCCACGACGTTTACAATTCGTCGCTGTGCTGAGCGAGTAACGAATTGGCGTGTGCCGGGTGGTGGCAGGTTTAACGACACATTTACGCGATCTAACCTCCCAAAAAACCCTTGTTCGGAAGTAAATTAATTAACTGGGAATTGCAATGCATTCTCATGGCTGAGTTATTACGTTACTGAGGAATTAGTTTGAGTCATCTTTTAAGGAAAACCAAACAGCCTCATCAGGAATATTTTCCAGGAGAGCCCGATACCCTGGGATGTTAAACCACGCACATGTAATGTATAGAGGGGGCCCTAGCTAACAAACAGGCGGTAGTTCACACGCGTTGTTTCAAGCGAAACAGCCGTGACTGCTGGCGAGACACTGAATGTCAAAACCGGCCAAAAGTTGATTCTGTTGAAGTGATGCTGCTGATCCAATCCACTCCCGAGAAGTCCGTTTCGCTCGCTGATGGGATGTGTAAATAAATACCCTAATGTGTGTGTGTAGAGGGACATTTATGAGGAGGCGTATTGTTTGATTGTTTACTTTAATTTGTCCGTGGCAGCAAACTGGAGTATACTCACCCCTAAATGTCCGCACAGATGGGTTCACCAACCCAGAATCAGAATCTTTTCAGATTTGCTGTGCTGCCAAGTGATGATCCTGGCGACCTCGCAGCAACACGGCGTGCTCTATGAGTGTCACCGATGTGCTCGATGCAGCAAATATCACAACCCGGACAAACATAAATATATGGATAATGAAATGGTACACATGAATAATTATATAATTTAGTCAAATGGTTCATGTAGAAAGTGCTCTTGCTATGATATTTGCAGATATGCGAGTGCGTTTTAAGTCTTAGTTTTAAATGTGCCGAGTCCGTATTGTATTCCTACCTAGTTAAGATAAGTTTGAATTTAATATTTGAATAAGTTGAGACGACTCGAGGCATTCCAGTGTGCCTGAGGGAACTGAACCCGCATGCCCAGCCACTGAATGCCCAAATAGATTTTGTTCTGCCGGATAGAGGGGGTCAAATGGGCGTACACTGGCTAGAGAAGAGATGGAGTGATGTGGTACAGGAGGATATGGAGTCTGAGTCGACTTGCAGAAGACTGGTACCAGCGGTGTCAAGATCGGCTTTTGTGGAGGAGGCTCGTGAAGGACGCTGCTACTGGGCAGTTGGAGGCAGTCGCCCTCCAACAACAACGGAAGGCGGAGGAGCGAACCTCACAACAATGAGCTGAGCACCGGGCGGCTAAAACGCAGCAAGTTGCCACTGTAGGGGGCAGAGGTGGTGCACCTGCCAATCATCTCGGTCAACCCATGGGACCTGGGTACGTCCCGTGACCACCTGCCAGCAAGCCTTGGGCACTTCACATGGCTTCAAGGTGCACATAGCCTGGTACAAGCGCCCCCGTGACCCCTCGATCCCCGTGACCCCTCGATCCCCGTGACTCACCGGCCCCCGTGACCCCACGGCCCCCGTGACCCCTCGGCCCCCGTGACCCCTCGGTCCCCGTGACCCCTCGGTCCCCATGACTCACCGGCCCCCGTGACCCCGATATCTCCCACAGCCTGGGCTCATGGCAGGCCCTGCGGCTCTTCACGCTCACCAAGCGGCAGTTCACCCTCGTGTTCGTCACCTTCTTCACAGCGCTCGCGCTCATCCTGCTCATCGGAATCAGCGGTGAGGCCCGCGCACAACAACAATAATACCTTCTTGGTTCTTTCGGTAAAGTCACGTAGAAGGGAAGTAATAAAATAATAAAAATAAAACATAATAAAATAAAATAATTCTCACGACGTTTCGGCTACAACGCAAGCAGCCGTCTTCAGGTGAAGAATGAGACACTGCCAAGCAAGAAGCTTATATATAAGCTGCGTTGGAGGTGGAAGAAGAGCGCCTTAACAAAGGAATGTGCATATGAAGAGGGATTTAGCATATTCATGGAAAATGCGTAGGAGGTGGGCGGGGGGGTTTCAAAGTCATATTATGCCCATGCATTATGCAGGATCAACAGCACCAAGGGGGGGTGCAGGGATTAGCAGTAACAAAGGAAAGGAATGTTAATGATATGTAGCTGCAGTTACTCAACAACCACGTAGAAAACTAAAGTATAAACTACATAAAAAACTAAAGTATAAATTGCATAGCACCATCAGTATACTTACTATACTCTACAATAAGCTGAGTTACTAACAGCAAGTAATACATTACAATTCTACGTCGTAAAAATTATATAATATGCTTCCATCTAAACTTTATTCTATTGCATCACACGAGCATATACCGTACTATATACTGCCAACATTAAATTATATACTGTATTGCTGTAAACCAACCTATACCTTATACATTTAATATAACACTATGTATTATTCTACCCACCCTAATGTGTGTCGAAATGGTTTATTACGTCCTTCCAATGATTGCTAAGCCAGAATCCATCTTCTCGGTTAAAATTGTCTCTGTGTTTGTATATGTGGATCGCCTCATGAACGAATCTCTCATGATAGCCAGATGGCTTGCAGAGAACCTCTGTCTTGGAGAAGTCAATATCATGTGAGCCCACTGAGTTGTAACAGTGATCTGCCACGGCTGAGGTGTTTGTCCTACCATGTTTCAGGTCAGCTTTATGTTCACGGATTTGGTCCGAGACATGTCGTTTGGTTTCCCCAATGTAACTGCTACCACAGAGGCAACTTAGTTTATAGACGCCAGGGTACTGTATGTCTGGAACTACATCTTTTACAGACGGTACCAGATCACGGATTTTATGTACTGTGTTGAATCGGACCTGGATCTTGTGTTTAATCAGGATTTTGGAGATCTTTTTTGTGACCCCAGCAATGTAGGGTAAGGTGATGGTCTTGAAAGGCTCCTCAACAGGATCCTTCTTGATGGTTGGAGTGATGGCTTTGCGGATTGTGTAGTCGGAGTAACCATTAGCCTTAAGAGCTTGGCGTACGTGTTTGAGTTCACTGGCAATGTGTTCATGGTCGGAGATGCATTGGGCTCTATGATATAGAGTCTTGATGAGGGAATTCTTCTGGGATGGATGGTGGTGGGAATCCGGTTTTAGGTAAGAATCCGTATGGGTGGCTTTCCTGTAGACAGTGGCTCATTGAACCATCAGGTCTCCTTTTGATTAGGACATCCAAAAAGGGTAGCTTGCCATCTTTTTCGACTTCCATGGTGAATCTGATGGCTGGGTGTATGGAATTGATGTGGTCGAGAAATTGGTCTAGAGCAGGCCGGCCATGTGGCCAGATGACAAAGGTGTCGTCTACGTACCTCTTCCATAAGGTCGGGTGTAGAGTGGCAGTCTGGATGGCGTCAGTCTCAAATTTCTCCATGAAGATGTTGGCTACAACCGGAGATAGGGGGGAGCCCATTGGGGTGCCCTCACTTTGCTTGTAGAAAGTTCCATTCCAGGTGAAGTATGTATTGGTTAAGCAGTGTCTCACCAGGGGGGGTACCCCAGCATTCAGTCCTTGATGAACCAAGTCTTCAATGATTGCGATGGTGTCAGGTACAGGAACCTTGGTGAATAAGGAAACCACATCAAAACTGGCAAGCAGGTCGTCTGGGGACAGGGCAATCCCCTTGATTGTCGATACCAGGTCAGTAGAGTTTAGTACCGCAGAGGTGGTTTTTCCAGTGAAAGGCCGTAGGATTTCAGACAAAAAACGAGCCAATTTATAGGTGGGGGAGTTGATAGTAGAGACAACGGGACGAAGAGGTGTATCTTCTTTATGTATCTTTGGCAAGCCGTATAATCTTGGTGGCCTGGCTGCAGAAGGTTTCAACGAGAATTGTTTGGTCTGATCAATTAATGCGGTTGAATCAGAAATGATTTGCTTGGTTTTAGAGACGAGGCTGTTGGTGGGGTCTCTTTTTATTTTTGTATAGCTGCTACATAAAATCTACATAAAATCCGTGATCTGGTACCGTCTGTAAAAGATGTGGTTCCAGACATACAGTACCCTGGCGTCTACAAACTAAGTTGCCTCTGTGGTAACAGTTACATTGGGGAAACCAAACGACATGTCTCGGACCGCATCCGTGAACATAAAGCTGACCTGAAACATGGTAGGACAAACACCTCAGCCGTGGCAGATCACTGTTACAACTCAGTGGGCTCACATGATATTGACTTCTCCAAGACAGAGGTTCTCTGCAAGCCATCTGGCTATCATGAGAGATTCGTTCATGAGGCGATCCACATATACAAACACAGAGACAATTTTAACCGAGAAGATGGATTCTGGCTTAGCAATCATTGGAAGGACGTAATAAACCATTTCGACACACATTAGGGTGGGTAGAATAATACATAGTGTTATTTTAAATGTATAAGGTATAGGTTGGTTTACAGCAATACAGTATATAATTTAATGTTGGCAGTATATAGTACGGTATATGCTCGTGTGATGCAATAGAATAAAGTTTAGATGGAAGCATATTATATCATTTTTACGACGTAGAATTGTAATGTATTACTTGCTGTTAGTAACTCAGCTTATTGTAGAGTATAGTAAGTATACTGATGGTGCTATGCAATTTATACTTTAGTTTTTTATGTAGTTTATACTTTAGTTTTCTACGTGGTTGTTGAGTAACTGCAGCTACATATCATTAACATTCCTTTCCTTTGTTACTGCTAATCCCTGCACCCCCCCTTGGTGCTGTTGATCCTGCATAATGCATGGGCATAATATGACTTTGAAACCCCCCCGCCCACCTCCTACGCATTTCCCATGAATATGCTAAATCCCTCTTCATATGCACATTCCTTTGTTAAGGCGCTCTTCTTCCACCTCCAACGCAGCTTATATATAAGCTTCTTGCTTGGCAGTGTCTCATTCTTCACCTGAAGACGGCTGCTTGCGTTGTAGCCGAAACGTCGTGAGAATTATTTTATTATGTTTTATTTTTATTATTTTATTACTTCCCTTCTACGTGACTTTACCGAAAGAACCAAGAAGATGAATCCCTGCAGTCACGAAAGCTTTAAATCGAAACAATAATACCGTCCTTGGGCGCGTTTGCTATTCGTGCCATTCCTATGGCGCAAGGCTACAACGACGAACATGCTGCCGTCTTTCACAGATGTTGTCCGCAGTAGTTTCACCGCGAGATGCGATGTCGACGTGTGTGTGGTCCCAATTGGGTCATGTTCAGAGAGGTTTTTTTCGAAATTGGACCATGACGCCGGCACACGTTTGGTCTGCTCATTTAGAATGACGTCACGAATATTTGACATCCGCTGTAAAGCAGCTGATGCGTAGTATTATATAGTTAAAACACCTGCAGTATTAACCAGTAGTATTGTATACTTAAAACACCCGCAGTATTAACCAGTAGTATTTTATAGTTAAAACACCCGCAGTATTAACCGGGGCGGCCTAGCAGATTCGGATCGTGAGTCTCCGCAGTTAGCAGCGAACACACGCGACCGCCGGCCCGTAGTGTCACTGCCCCCAATATGCCCACGACGTGTGGCCGTTATGGCAAGGAGATTAACACATCAACATGGCAGTACAGCAACTGGGTTGCTCACCGCTCTGTAGAAATTTGTGAATTTTTGGTTTCTTGCACGTTCAAATGCTAAGAAGTGGATTAAGTGGCTCACGGTTTTTTAGGCTTGGTGAGATGGTGACTTGCTGACCCACCCCCTACTGGACATCTGTGAAAAAGAGCTTCATAGCTCATCAGATTCTTCCAGTATAAATAAGAGATTCTAACTTTGTAAAGAATTTGGAGTGGTACTCATCTATTGGAGGCCCTGACATTTCCACATTCCCATGACGTCTGGGAAGCCAGCGGTGGTCATCTCATTTTATTGACCTTCAAAGAGAAGATGATGTGCTGAGCCTTCTTGATTGTGAAGCTGACCTCTATAACCGACGTGTCGCTCCATCGGAGCTTAATGTAATATAGAGAAGGAAAATAAGGTTCTGTTTTCTGTGGCACACTTAATTATTTAAGCGCTACACTCTTTTGAAGATGAATTTGGAACAGAGAATATATATTTCTCTTGTAAACCAACGCCAATTTTCTGCATTGGCGTTGGAAGCTTTGGTTAGTAATACGTCTCCCAGTTGGGTTTCTAAAGCATGTTCATTTTGCTAATGCTCTTGCTACGAATCTCGAGAGGCTGTTTTAGTTACAAAAATATTTTTTTGCCCTGGGGATCAGGTTATTTTATTGTTTATTTTTATATAAATTGTTGCTCTTTAAGAGGATAAAGGTTACCGATGGCCATTTGCACTCATCCAATGGAAAGGTCGTCTATTGACCATGTGAAAAATAACTGTAGCCTCTGAATGATGAAGTGTCTTTGTGTTTCACGTTACAGACTGATGCACACACGTGTGTGTGTGTTGCACACACAGCCCCTTTTTGTCAATCCACTGCGATATGAGGGCTCTTCCCCCCCTCCCATACCGTGTGGCTTGTGAGGGTTATTTGACCATACTTCCCCACTATTGTCAGTGTGGGTTGGTGAAGGCTTGCAAACGTAGACGCGGGAGTGTATAAGTACGGTAATAAATGTTGCTGCACTGCCTGCTGCTGCTCACAACAACAACAATGCACCACAGCAGCAGCCGGCTTCGGATGGTGGTCAAACATCCGGGCTCAATCCAGGCTCAACCTCTGCTTATATTCTGAGATCTCATGACATCGGGTGCGTTCCCGGTGATTTGGTCATACGTGTACTCACACAGTCTAAGGCTGAGTGGCGTTAACTGTGACTTTGATGATGATCCTGGCAAATCGGGTTCATTTTGTAGCTCAGATATGTTATCAGAGTGGCAATGAAAGTGCCAGCAAATAAAGGACACAAACCTGCCGTGCTTAATGACGTCAAGATCTGCACAGGCCAGACGCTGCTGTGCAAGTGCCTTTGTTGAAAAGTCTAACGCTGTATACGAATCCGCGAGCCACGTTTGGCTGAAAGTTGATAACCTGTTTGCACACTGTGTTCGGGTGCCACGGGCGCGAGATGTTAACTACCTCGCCTGGTATACAGGAGGTCATGGGTTCGATCCTGACCCTGATGCCTGCTGTATATTTGGAGTTTAGATGTTCTCCCCAGTTTAACACATAGGCTTTCACGACTATGGATGTTTTTCTCTGGGTCCTCCAGTTTTTCCCTCCACATCACATTTAGAAGCATGCATTTAGAAGCTCCGACCCTGACTCCTGTATATCTGTAGTTTGCGTGTTTTCCCCGTGGTCGCGTGGATTTTTCTCCGGGTCCTCCGGTTTGTCCCTCCACATTTAGAATCAACATGCGTTCAGAGTATTTTGCTGCTATAATTTTCCACGTGATAAGCCACTTCGTTAAGCTATCATTTGTGATAGCCAGGTCACTTCTGCAAAAGAGCTACATAGCTCAGTGGGCCTTTTTTGGTAAAATTAAAATAGTTTTTAGTTTATTTATAAGATACATTCCGAATAAGGTTTCATACACATGCACACACACTCTAAATATAATATCTACAGCTGAATCTCGCTTCTGGTTTTATTTGAAACTTACAGCGCTGTGATGGCATGTTTCAGGGTGTGTTATTCTATTCTTATATTTGGGTTACCTGGGTGTGCCCCTTGGCCCTCTGAATGTGGTTCAACAAGTTTAAGTGCACTCAGAAACAACGGTGTTGCGTAAGCGTGGACACTGAACGCGTCTATTCACAGAGGTGGGCGTGCAGTGGCCTCTTTCTGTGTTCAAGAGTGCCACTTCAAATGGAAAATAAACTAAATAGACACAATGCGCCCGACTTCCCAGATCCATCTCTTCACACACACAACAAAACTACATTATTTTTTTAACTCATCCTATCAGCCACACAACCTCTCTGGGAGTGCATCGTTCTTGCAGCAAAAACACTGAACCGGTTTGGACATTGATTGTCTCATCAGCAGTCGGTCTTGCTTGAACCAATGCTGGTGAACTGCGAGATGTTCATAGGCAAGGACCCTCCCTCTGTGTAAAACATGGATACTTTTTCGACACAAACCTATATAATACATAACACAAAATAATAATTTCAGATGGGACGGCTCAATTAAGAGACTTGCATTAAATGTGCCATGAGAGTGAACCGAGTCGGTGTGTTCTTCTAGATGGGAGAATGTGAAGGCGCGGCGTGGACGATTTTTCATAATAGAGATTTTTTTGGGTTCGATCACGTTAACATAAATGTGTTGTTAAACCTGCCACTACCCAACACAGCCAATTAGTAATGTTTGTCACGAAAACAAAACAAGCCAGTAAGTTACTAGTTCAGCACCCCAGTGTGTTGAAGAGTAAACCCACAACATTTACAATTCGAGTATGATGTTTCGCCGGTAATTAGAACGAGCCTCATCAGGCGACAGCCAGAATTGATTTTCCCTCTGTAAACCACGAACAGTGCCAGAAACACCGTGGCGGGGATGATAGCGTAGACATCAATGCGTAACAACGTCAATGCGTGCTATGACACACGTCTAATTGGCAGCTGTACCAGACCGGGTGGTGGCAATCAATCAGTTGCGATTCCCTAATCTGGATGCCCCAGCCCAGACAACTCACTCAACGAAGGCCTCTTCTAGCTGTGAAAACTCAACAAAGTCGAGCCACTGCAATTACACCCTTGCTCTGTATGCCCAAAGGTGTATTTCTTCGTGAACGTTTGTATGAAGCACAGCCCCCATCCTCTCGCATAATGTGCAGACGAGGGCAGCCCAGCAGGTCTCCCCCGGCTTCAACACGGCACGGGCACGGCAAGGCTCCTTTGGTGCCCCGAGCCAGGGTGGCAATGCCACTTTCCCACGGCGAGACCAGTCACTCTGTTGGGTGGCCGCCGCTGCTGACTTCGCACACAGAGCGGTACTCATTTTAACCCCTCTGGAGTGATCATTTACTGAGCTGATCCCCAGCTGGGATTTAACTTTCAATCTGAGACGAGCGCTTGAAGCACGTAGCCACCCGGCTCGACAATGCGAGTGCAGTAGGATGTGAGGTCCTCCATGCTTTTTTATTATCAGATATAGCCCCAGTGCACTGTGGGTAAATTCATGTTGGCTTCGTACATGGCGCATTCCATTCCTTGGCTGCCATTCTGTCATTATTCTTGACCACTGACCATCATTCCGTATCGTGTCTTGCCCAAGCCTACGTACCTATTTAACAGTTAATTTGTCTGCGTGATTTCTTCCCTCGTGTAGGCAATAGACAAACCTGTTGGCATTCTGTAGCTTGGTAATGTTTCCGACTCAAGTTGAAAGCTATAATAATGCATTGTCTCTCTCTGTCTATCTCAGTCTATTTTTGCTACCTGAAATGTGGAGGCACGGTAATGCTCAAAAAGATGTATCAACGTGAATTAAACTTTAGCATTATGCCATGTTGCTATTAGGGACTTACCTCAAGGTCTATCGGCCACATTGGTCAAAGCGTCACCCGCCGCACTCCCCAGCAGGACCGCTATATGTGCCCTGTGGTCTCATTGTGGCCTATGCACTGCTTCTTGTAAACCTGGTGCAAGAAACAAATTTTATTATCACCAAATCAACACTGCTGAGGATGAGTGCTAATTGGAGGGCATTGTACAATCAAAGCATGGGCACGATTTTTGTTCCTGGTTTTCTCCCTGAAGTATTTTCTCTTGCTGTGCTTTCAGGCCCTGAAATCACCGAGTCCCACATCCTCAAGGCCACGGATATAGAAGAGCATCCGGATGACCTCAGGGTAAACACATGCACACTTCATGTAACACTGCAGTGTTAAATCTTGACTTAAAGCTTTCGTGACTGTTCATGAAGCCATCCAGATACACAAACACGGACACAACTTCAACCGAGAAAATGGGTATAAACTGAGCAATCATTGGACGTTATTAACCAGGTTAAGTCATATCTGGCTGTGATGCTTCCATCTTACCTGCCTATGTTAGCAGTTATGAATTACATTACCTTGTTAAATGTCTTTACATTAACAGGCTAAATGTCTCACTAACATAGCTGCTGCTCTCTTCTCCTCAATGTGGCGGTGGCACTCGTTGTTTAATAGGCTGAATGTCTCTCATTAACACATCCGCTGCTGCGGGAGCCGTCTCACATTGACATGCTAATCTCTAATCTCGACCAATGCAATGGCTTCTTCAGCACCGTAGTCATGGGGTTACATTAACAGATTGACTTGCTAATCTCTAGTAACACAATGGCCGAGGTATAGCTAGCTCTGCGATCTTACACTTACTTGCAAATTCCATCTCTAGCCCTGCCCACTTTCCCTTGGGTTGTACCCATCTCAAACCTTTATAACCGATGGCTGCTGTAGCTCTCTCGCTATATTTCTTCCTGCCTCAGCAGTCCGCCTGGTTGTGCTTTTAGATGAACTTGTATCTGCCACAGTAATGTATAATTTTCACGACTCACTGTAGCCTGCTATTTGACAAGCTCTATCTAATGCTGTCTTGAGCATTGTGTGCTGCACTATAAAGCGGCTACCTGATTTGCAGCTAATGTCAGTGACACGCGATATCTGAACTAGTCCTAGGCGCACCCCCTTTTCCAGCCTGCACTGACCAGAATGGTGAGGTATGGTTAAACAATATCCACAATTGACACGATGTGGGGAGGCCCTGATCCAGAAGTGGACGGTTCACTCATTGTTAAAGATCGCGGTTTTCCTAAGCCAGGAATCCGCAACCAAAATGACAAGAATTTTTGATTTCGAATTCGGTAAATAACCATATATTTCAAGAGCGACAATGCACTGTGAATACGAGATGGCGGTTCCTAAATAAATAACATCACAAAGCAGACCTTAAAGAGCCAAATGTGGCTCCGGAGCCACAGGTTGGGTGAGAGGTCGGGTGAGAGGTTGGGTGAGAGGTTGATGAGAGGTTGGGTGAGAGGATGGTTGAGAGGTCGGGTGAGAGGATGGGTGAGAGGATGGGTGAGAGGTTGGGTGAGAGGTCGGGTGAGAGGTCGGGTGAGAGGTCGGGTGAGAGGATGGGTGAGAGGTTGGGTGAGAGGTTGGGTGAGAGGTTGGGTGAGAGGTCGGGTGAGAGGTTGGGTGAGAGGTTGGGTGAGAGGTTGGGTGAGAGGTTGGGTGAGAGGTCGGGTGAGAGGTCGGGTGAGAGGTCGGGTGAGAGGATGGGTGAGAGGATGGGTGAGAGGTTGGGTGAGAGGTTGGGTGAGAGGTTGGATGAGAGGTTGTGAACACTGCACGCAGGGGCCGATCTTCCCATGTAAGCTTTCGCCACGCACTGTTGTGGGCATCTTCACGAGGTCCATTTTAAATATAAAACATCCATCATCATCACCAGCTGTGCATTAGCCACTGCTGCCTGAATGCCATAGCAAGTCGTCGTTGCCTCGCGATGCAAAAACCCATCTGTTTCTGGCTTCAGTTTAATTCCTAAACCTTCCCGCAGTAAGGAGTGCATTGCAAAAGCTCATTAGGAGATATTCTCAACACGCAGCCTGATCTGAAAACTGCGACTACGAAAACGCATGTGCGAAGCGTAATAACGCGTTTCTAACATCTTCCCTCGTCGCGAAGCCATTGAGCACACACACTTGTCACTTCCTGCAAAGTGGTACTGTATTATTTTTGTATCGACCCTAGAGGGATGATATGCCGAGCGGACTCCTCGCCGCGATTATACCTTCCTTCCTGCCCAATTTTGCGTTAGATGTCTTGTCGTAAAGCTGCCCAGCCAATGACGTCTCCTTGACAAAGCGCCAGTGGTGCAGTATATTCCCTGGAGAAAAACTGACATCACAAATGTGAAGGCAAGAACCTCGGGGGGTTGTGCCCGCTGCAGCAGTGGAACGTGATGACCAAGGTGGTATTGCCACGTCTGTTTCCAGAAAATCTGCGTTTTGACAAAAACTCAATACGTTCGTCAATAACGGCGCCATTAAAAGGAACAACATGTTTTTGTACGTACTGTAATAGGTAACGTTTCAAGCAATGGCACATGACCCATGTTATCTCTTAATTCATATCAAAGCCTCTGCACGTCTCTCACCAATCTCAATGCAAGAAGTCAATATGTTTAACGCTCTCCTCTGTAACACTTGTGGGGCCATCGCTTTCACAGAATTCAGTCGGCTACATCTTCGCAGCACACGTGCCACGTGTGCTATGAGCAGGGCCTTTTCCAAAAGTGTCACCTGGTCCATATTTATGCCTTTTTAGGCCACGGTGTTCCTTCCAAGCGTGTTGAGTTTGTGATGTTTGTGCTTGTTCACCGCAGCCCATGTGGCAGTATCGCCAAATACTGTTTGTGTTGACAGACCACTGCAATATCAATCTTTCCGTCCTTTCCTGCGCAATGAGAGCACCCGTGTCATTGAGACCCTGAGTGGGAGGAGCACATTAATAAAAGTGTTTACTGCAGAGCAACACAGAGGCTTACACAAGCGTGCAAATCCAATGCCGAAAAATCAGTCATCCAATGACAGTGTAATATTAACATATTTTAACCATTTAAGTGTAGTAAATTTCAGCTGAACAAATGTACTTATTCACCCACGAAGACACACTGAGTCCGAAAACTGTTTTTCGGAGGGTCTTGCTACATTGGGATGTTTTGGCAATTAATTACACCGTATTTCTTTTAGCTATCGAAGAAAACGGGAAAACCCTTAGGAAACCCATGCAGAACAGAGGGAGAACACCGATAGACTCCACACAGAAATGCACCTGAGTCGAGAATCGAACCCAGGTTCTTGCTGTACGACTACATGCAATGGTTTATGATGTCAAGTCGATGCCGCATTTGATGCAATTTTTATTCCAACACATTTTATTGTCCCGCATGTGACCTTGCCGTCATGCCTCGGGGAAATGGGTATTTGCAACAAAACCATTTACCCTTTCGTCACGCGCCGCATCGTGTGCAACATGCGTGCACGAGTAATCGGTATTGGCCAAACATCGCGGTGCAGGACCCTCCTGATAAAGAGTCTCAGGAGTCGCCGTGGCTTTCTTATTATTATCGTGTGAACTATGTATTACTACTATTATTATCGTGTGAACTATGTATTACTACTATTATTATCGTGTGAACTATGTATTACTACTATTATTATCGTGTGAACTATGTATTACTACTATTATTATCGTGTGAACTATGTATTACTACTATTATTATCGTGTGAACTATGTATTACTACTATTATTATCATGATTCAACCAGGAGAGGAACGCTCGGCATATGTAAAGCGCGTGCTGTGGAGGGCGCGATTCTAAATCTTGTGTTAACATCAGAGGGACGTTGTTATCTGGGAGAGATGACCCGGTGGGCATGGTGTGGGTTTGATTAATATTGACAGTCATTGGATTTCTACTTTTTTTCCTCTCTCTCAAGTGATTGCCATGTTTAAAGAAAAAAGAGCTTGGAAGATGGATCAGATAAAAAATATATACCGCCAAGATTTGCAACCTTTTGTGTCAATCCACTGCTGGATGAAGGCCTCCCTATGCCATGATATTTCAGGAAGTTGTTTAACTGTACTGCACTGCACTGCCCAGTGGGGGTGGGTAAAGGGAGATCCCAACACCGATTCAGATATCAATCGTCGCCGATGTTTGCCATGGCGGAAATCGAACTTGGGTTGCTGAGTTCATGGCACGGTGTGGTAATTACTGTGCCACCACTCCCCATAATAATGTACATTGTACTGTATTTTCCCTTCATGGTAACATGCAGAGAAACACAAAAAGGTGTGTTTGTGTTGCTCATATGATGTGTGGACCGTGCCCTCTTAATCAAAAGTCATGAATTGTGGGGGGAGTCAATAGGGGTTGCCTTATGGAAAGACTCGTCCCTGTCATACGAATATGGAATTTACACAACTGGCTCAGGGCTGCACACTGGAGATGAGTTGCGGCGCTTAATCGAGTAGGAAATCACTTTGCTTTTTATCTTTCAACAAATGTCTTCTTTGAATGGGCGATGACGAGCAGCGGTGGGTGGCTTTTGCATGGTGTGTCTTTGCAGACAGCAGTGGAGTACCCCTTGGAGACTCCGGAACTCAATCCGTTCAACCAGCAGCTCTGGCTGACCTTGCGCCTGGAGCTGGAGACACCGCCAGGTGACTGGCACCCATCTCTGGTCCCGAGTGAGCACATGGCTCAGCTCAGGTCGAGGGTCGGGCACCTCTCCTACGCTCCACGGGTTAGATAATGACCCTTGACGTCATTTTACGTCAGAAATATCCGCTCTGAAACGGCCCCGCGAATGATATTTATCTGTCACAGGAAAAGTCTGATCAGCTACTAGAGGGGAAAACCTGACGACAAAATGTTTCTTAATATAGCACAGATCCAGTCACTTCTGTCACTATAAGTTCCCCCTCGCAGTGACAGCAGTGGCTGAGCTCTCTGTGTGTGCGTGTGCATGTGGCTGCCCGCCAAAGGCATTTGAAAGTCCTGTTCGGCCTCAGATCATTGAAAAAGGTTCCCGACCCCTGAGTGAGAGGGGTGACAGGCAGTGACAGAGCAATGCCGTGTCACTGTGACGCCACTGCCTGTTGGGATGCACTCAGCTGGAGGGGAAGGTCATTGAGTGTGATCAGGTCACAGGGTCACCCACCATCGTCGGTCCTTGATTAGACCAACTCCTTTAATCTATTATTGGCGATCAAACTGGCATCGCGCAACACGACGCCACACGGAGTGATGGCGCGATGGTGATAATTGCCAACAATTTAGTCCATTTGGTAATTCGGGCCGTTCTCATGGCGCACGGCGGCTATCTGACTGTCGCCTGATGAGGCTGGTTGTAATTACTGGCGAAACGTCACAGTACTCGAAATGTAAAATTCTTGAGGGTTTACTCTCCAGCACACCGGTATGCTGAACTTGCAAATAACTCGTTTTTGCAGATAGCTAATGAGCCCGTGTGTATTTGTGTAAGATTGACACGTAGTTTTCACGACAAATATTATTCATAATAGAGGTGTTTTTGGGTTTCGTTAGCCCGCCTCCATTCAACACAGTCAATAAGTGAGGTTTGGCAAAATCTGGCAAAACCGCCCGACGATGCTGGTTGATGTAATTACCAGCGAAACGTCACGGTACTCAAGTTGTAAATGTTGTGGGTTTACTCTCCAACACACACCCGGTGGTGTTGAAGGAATCACTAATTGGCACGTTTTTGTGTCGGGTGGTGGCGGGTTAACGATACATTTATGCTAATGCGATTTAACCCTAAACAAAAAAACCTCTCATGGATTTGAAATTAATCGTTAAAATTTTGACTGGCGCCAGCAGACAATGGCCTGCTCGTTTCTAACGACCTCTGCAGCGGGTGGGAAATCTACGACACCCACCATGAAGCAGACTGGGCACATATTTGCGTTATTTTAGTATGCCGCTGTATAACAATCATGATAATAATAACCAGGCCCGCCTGCCGAATTCAAAATCGCGAACCTCTGCATCAAGCGGCGGACGCGGCTACCGCCGTGCAAATCTCCTCCCTCTCCCCTCGGTGATCCATGGAGCGTGCTGGCTGTGCAGAGGCAATGGTGCATGTGTGACGCCAGACCTGCAAGTCCTCGAGATGCCCTAGGATACGGAGAGCAGCCTTCCTGTTAATCCGTAATAGTGATCTCGTCTGCCACGGGCAAAAAAACATTTATATAGTTTGCCAACATTCTACGGCATGCATTAATCTTGGAGACACATTTTATTCTGATTTTCGGAACTGTAATAACGTTGACACATTTTTCTGAGAAATTTAAACAACCTCCTTGTGACGGGCAGGCTGTTACCTAATTCATTTATATCTCTCTGCTGCTTTTTGGCACCGTGACTGTAATATATTGTGTCATTGAATTTCTCATTAAGTTTCAGTTATAGGTGTCATTATGGTATGTTTAAAATCCCATCACTCTTGCCAAAGAGACAAATGTAAGGTTTTACAGGGCACATTTAGCATTCATTTGCTATCTTATGACTATTCCTTAGTGAATATTTTTATTTATATGTCAAGCTCATGATTTTACTGGATTCAGGGGAATTTTACTTGACTAAGAAGATAAAACGAAGTAATGTTGTTTGTTGTGAATGTAACGTTATCACGGTAATTTCTGGAGCCAGCACGGTGAAGTATGCTCAAACAACCTGATTACTGACATGGCACAGGGAGATCTACATTTAGCAGTCGATTCATAAAACGCCTTATGATGAACATTGTAATCACATTTCGTGGCAACATCAACACTGATCGAAGCAATGTAGCTCTTACTAATGAAGCTAGCATCCATCCATCCGCGCGGTCAGTAACATGAGTACCACTTTGTATATAAATCAAGGGACATGATGAGCACTGCCTCATCATCACGCATTATAGCAGAGAGACTTTGGTCCTCAGTAGTATTTTAATCTGAACACCGTTGTTGAGCAGAGGTCTACAGGCCCGATGGCCCCGAAATGCCAAGTGGCCAGCAATAAACGGCACATTTAAAGTTGTAAGAAGCAAGAGTGGAAACGAATTTCTCGAATTGTCCAAGGTTAGTTTGAGAGGTTAGCAGAAAGAGAAATGTTGTGACCTGCAACGTGGTGAGCGGGTGGTGAGCGGGTGGTGAGGAGTGGTGGCTCAGCGGCAAGCACTCTGCGCTGCCAACTCGGCCACCTGAGTTCGATTCCCGCTCGCGACCAATAATGGGGACAGTGAATATGTGAACTGGTCCCGGTCCTCTCCTAGGTTGACTCGGCCTTAAAATGAGTATCTGATGGGGTGTGTAGGCATCGCCACTGGGGAGACAAAGGTGGCCGGGCGTGGTGTTGGCCACCCCACCCCCTGATGTGCCGTGCCGACCCTAATAGCTTCTCGCTAACAACACTTGCCCCAACAGTCTGTTAGAGGCTATTTGGGGGATCTTTGAGTGAGGGAGTGTGTAAATGGGTGAGCGAGCAGGTGAGCAAGTTGTTTTGACCTGTGGGGTGCTGGATGAGATGAAACAGTCCGTGTCTGGTAGACAGAGTCCTCAACACGGGTGGAGGAATCGGTGAGTGAAGTTCAAGCAAAACAGTAACCATGGAAATACAGTAGCAGCTGCAGCTATAGAAGAGTGAAAAGGAGGCCAATGACCGCCGGCAAGCGAGCGAGCGAGTGACTGGAGTGCATCGGTAAGGGCTGGGATCATCAATCATCACGTTTCATTTATGCAGCGAGGGAGCAACTGGGTGCTCCGGCCCAGATATGACAAGCGCACTAATGTAACGACGCTGCTGCTAGCTAGGGCGCCACTGTGCAAACCACAGGGATCATAGTAGCTGTGTTTTTATGACCAATCTTGACCTCAATGTTGACCCCTGGCCTTAGGCTGATTAAATAATTCTCAGGGCGGCTGCATTTTCATCTTGATCTCTTCTAGTTTTTAAATGTAATCAATGCACGTTGATTAAGATTTATTGCACTTTAACTTGGCATGTGCCTACGCAATAAAAAATACAATTAGTGGTGAAATCGACCATATTTGCTTGGTATTGATTATAATTGCTCGATGTTGGTTGAGTTATATTTCATTGTACTTCCATGATTATGCGTTTTGCATCAAACACATTTTTATTGTGATTTCACAATCAATCTGGGCGGGTGTAGACAATTGTAAAGTGTCGCCCCCACTCAAGCAAGCGTTGGGACTCCGCTCGTCTGCATTGGCGACGCTGAGCCGGCGAGTGTAAATTGTACATTCTTACGTTGAGTGTTCAGTCTGTGAAGTGTAGCACCAATTTTAATGTGATTGAGTATTTTTTTACGGTCATCAGTGACCGGGGTGAGACCATCAACTCGCTGCACTTGGGAACCCGGTATACTGACAGGCGAGCCAGAAGATCTACGCAGTGGGAGCTCTCAAGCGATCTTAGCGGTCAGTGCTCTCAGTCCGTAAAGGACAGCCGCTCTCGGCTGGCCACGTACTGGTGCTTGTTTTATTGACCGCCTGATAATATTAAGAGCCAGGCACAGGGACGTACGACTGCAGGTGAGCGCTTTGGAGGCAAGGGGTCATGAAGCTGGATTGAAAACTCACTCCTATAGAACTGCTTTTTGCGTTTTGTTTGTTGTCCTTCCCCCGCACCTCCGATTAACACGGTTGGCTACGTGCAGTGCGAAAGAAGTTCAACGTATATACATACAAGCCCACAAATTTGTGAAACTCCCAAAGAAGCTGTGGCCTGCGAGGTGACTAGGATATTAAAGTATAGAAAGTAGGTTCATGAACCCATATGTGCAGACCTTTGAGTGCGTAACCTCTCACTTGTGCGTTCTCTCTGAGTTCCGCACGAATGTAAACACTCGTATAAATAGAGTTGGCCAAACCTCCGAGGCAATGTTGGTTTGTCAGTCAATGCGGCCACTCGCGTCGCGGAGTCCACACGTGAAAACTTTATGTTCTGAGAACTTCAATTAATTATTTAGGCTTAGAAGCGCAGATCGAAAGTGCCGCTTTCGTTTTTTTTCTCCGCTTGGTACATCGTGCGCTTCAACACGGGGCGCCTGGAGGAGAGCCGCCGCCGTGAGCCCGGGTTGAGATGCGTTCACTCGCGGAATCCTCCCTCCCTCCCTCTCCCTCCACAAGCCTTTGTTCCGCCATGCGGGCTCCAGCACAGGGGGGGGGGGGGGGGGCTCGCATTGAAGGTTCCAGAATGTAAAGGAAAGCGGAACCCCCCTCCCCACAAAAATACCACAAAGACCAAACAAAACAGCCGTTATCAAGCTATCAGAAACAGTTTTATTTTTGTGAGCATTTTTTTATTGTCATTAAAGAACCGAGAAATACAGTGGGGGTTTCAAAAGGAGCGGTAGGAACAAGGTGTATTTAATGTATAACAGGCTAGGCCGCAATGCACCCTCCTTCCGTGGTAGGGGGTAACGATCGGGAGCAGGGTACATAAGGGGGGGGGGTGGGGGGGGGAGACCCATGGGATAACGGGGAGGGGTGGGGCAGCAGTTGTTTTAACCGACTACATTCTGCTGATGATGGGTAGAAAGTGCAGACCCGTCCAGCGCCTGCCTGTATAAACTAACCTAGGTTATTTTTTTATTGTTGCTGTTGGCATTTCGACTGAATGTATGGACGGC